GTGAACATGCTATATAATATATTAAAATGCTAAATAAGTTCTACTATATTTAAAATCAGGAATCTAGAAATTTGTTCAATAAAATTGTCTTAAATTGTTTTTTAAAAATTGACAGGTTTTCCTTTTGGATGTTATTTTCAATGCTATAGTTCCACAGATTAATAGCTCTGACTAAAAAGGATCGCTGTCCTGTGCTTGTTCTGCAGAGTTGTTGTTTTTATCTTGCCAGATGATTGAAATCTGGTATTGTATCTGTGTGTTTGCTCACACATGTTTATAATCTTGAAACACAGATAGGACGGTGCTTGACCGTTCATACATTTATAAGTCATGATCGCGTCATTTAATACCAACTTATCAGATACTGGAAGCCATTTCAGAGCTTTCAACGTTGGAGTTATGTGTTCAAATTTCTTCTTATTGTCCACAATTCCAAAAATTCCACACATGTCCGAAAACGACAATCCTTCAGCAGGAATGCGTGGTAGGTACCCTAGGCAAAGCTACAAAACCGAGATTACGGATCCTTCATCTGGAGATCAAATGAACACTCCTAGCCTAAATTTGTGTATTATCCACCAGAAGCCTCATCGCCTTAGCAAGTGCCGCGCTTTTCGTGCCAAACCAATTGACGAGAGAAAAACCTTATTCGACAACACCACTTGTGTTTTCGTTGTCTTGCCTCAACCAGCCACATGGCAAAGAAAGATTGTAAGCTTCCAGTTAAATGCACTGAATACGAAAGCGACAAACAGTTAGCTGCATTACACGTAGAGCCAGCCTAGTCCCAGTCGTTCTGAAGCAAGCGCGAGAAAAAACGTGGATGTAGTACGAACTGCTGGGACCTAGGTGTGACGTCATCGCTAAAGGTGCTTCAGAACGCCTAGCAGATTTCAGTAGTAGTAATATGGCGGAAAATTTATAAATACAAATAACCTTGTAAATACGACAATGTTCGTTGATCATGTTCGATGTCTACATAACCAAATTTAAACTGTATTAATTTAAAAATGTGCTCAATTAAAAAAAATATATATACAAATTTACGATACTGAGTCTGAGCAATGGTCGTATAATCGTTGTTATTTATATACTCGCAAGTTGTGATCAACACTAGACCGATACTGGTACACACAACTACGCTTTCTACTTGCAGGTTTAAGTAGCTGAGGAGATTGGATATATTTGCCTGACATGACTGTGCCGTCAAACATTTTTAGTCGGAAACTCGGCATAATTTTCAAGCTTCTAGATAGCATTTAATATAGCCCGTTATTCCAATCTCACCGTATGGTAGCGAAACGTAGCCTATTTCATTGTTCCGACAGCATTAGAGCAAAACTAATGACTTAATTATAAACGCAAAGAAATTTCCATAATATTTTCTATTTACAAATGCAGTATGCTTATAGTAACCAGGCCAGGGACCACTTTTTTGAAATCAGGGACCATTTTACCGAAATCTGCTAGGCTCTCTCGCTGAAGCGTTCCGCACAGCACACCCATGCATAAAACTTTTAAGACTTATTTAAATATATCAAAGCAGCGAATAGAGAGAGAGCCTGGGACTAGGCTGACGTAGAGCGAAAGCCGAAACCAAAAAGACCAAGAGGAAGTCCAAGGCGGGGAGCAAAGGAATGGTCAACAAGACGGTACGGACAAGATGGACACCTGCTTCCCTCCATAGCAGAGTCCAATGCAATACCAGACGAACATGCAGCAGTTCTATAAAAAGCCCTTAATTTTGGCACCGGTGGGTACATCTGACCCTAATGTTGTTAATTGGCGCCCAGACGATAATGCCCCTAGACCGCACGGAAAAGTAATCAAGCGCCAACATCGTCTTTTTTCTCAATCTCGGCGAGCAGCTTTTGGCCGATGGTTGACCTCACACGATTGAAATCCAGCTTTACCCTACTCACTAATGATGAACTGGTGACAACTCTGAACCATTTCTTCCTTTCCGTAAATAAAGATATTCCAACCCTTAACACGAGTAAGTTACCAGCTTACTTACTTGCTGCTGATCAATTACCCATTATCCCTCCTTACCAAGTTTGTAAAAAATTGCTCAGTCTTAACTCTTTTAAAACCGCTGGCCCTGATAACATCCTGCCTCGCATTCTTAAAGAATTCGCTTACGAATTGTCTGAACCACTTGCACATATTTTCAACCTCTCTTTATCTTCGGCTACCACCCCTTCTCACTGGAAATCTGCGAATATTTCCCCGATTCCAAAAGAGACACCTCCCAAAGAAAAAAATAATCTGCATCCAATTTCATTAACGTCGTGTATATCAAAAGTCCTAGAGGAATTCGTGGTCGAATGGATCTTGGAAGATATCGGACATCAAATTGACTCTAAGCAATTTGGATGCCTCCGCGGTTCATCTACTACTCTATGCCTACTTGACATGTTTCATTCCTGGTTATCCAAACTTGATGCTGATGGATGCCCACTAATAATAATAATAATATTTAATATTTACATTGCGCAAATTAACATGTTATAGTATATGATCAAATGCGCATCACAAAACATAATTACACTAAAATTATTCTATGCTGAATGGTTACTAACTAAAAATATAAAGAAGATTATACAGATTATATGTTACATGAAGTATTTACATTAAAGGCTTCTTCAAAATAATAAGTCTTAACTAATTTCTTGAAAATACTAAAGTTATGCAGATTTCTAATATACATAGGTAATTCATTCCAGATTTTTGGAGCGGAGGTTACACTACGGATTGTCTTACTAGATTTTAGTACAGAATTAACTTGAACGTACTGATTACTAAGCTGATCTACATGGGGCTTCGTAGATCTATTATTCCATGATTAATGTGACTTTTTGTCTGATCGCAGACAGAGAGACAAACTTGGGGAAGCCCCATCTTGTTTTTGGTAATGGTCAACGACAACACATTAGAATCAGAACATTGGAAGTATGTAGACGATCTTACCATCTCCGACGTCATTCCAAAACATAGCGAATCTAACATGCAATAGGAACTAGACCATATTTCAAACTGGTCTGACTAAAACTATATGAAACTTAATCTAAAAAAGTGTAAAGAATTGAGAGTTAATTTCCAACGTCATTTGCCTGATTTACCACAGCTCATCACCATTGATAGAATACCGCTTGAAACGATTAGCAGCCATTGCTAGGTCTTCAAATCCAAGACGACTTAAAATGGAACGAACACGTTGATATTATTACCAAGAAAGCCGCAAGACGTTTGTATATTATTCGTACTCTGAAGCGTAATGGAGTACCTGAGGAAGACCTAATAAGTATATACATCTGTTATCCGCTCCATATTGGATTACGGCTGCGCTGTGTGGCATAAACGCCTCCCTTATTTCCTTTTTCGAGAAGATTGAACGCATACAGAAGCGATTTTTCCGCATTATATTCCCACATCTATCTTATCGTGAAGCCTTAGCTCTTACTGGATGCCCGAGACTTGAAGACAACCGTCAACGCTTGTGTTTAAAACTTTTTAATAAACTTAAAACCCAGCCAAGTTCGAAACTTTCCCAACCTAAGATCTCGTACGAGGTATGAATCACACGGACGATCGGTGCGTAGTGGAAATAATTTGTCTTTATATAAATGTAGAACAGATTTTCCAACAATGACGGAGGTTCATAATCAGCAATAACTAAGATTTTTTAAATTTTTAACTAGATACTATTGAATGTAATATATTATTTTATACTGTGTAATATATAATGTAATTCGCCTTATAATGGTGCGAATTTTTATATTTTTAATAAATTGAATTGAACAAAGACTAGATCCCTGACATAGCAATGGCTCATTCGCATCTCCGCCCAATTGCGGATCAGATACCTTCAGCCCAACGTGACACTGACATCCTTTTGCTCATTGGAAGAGATGTACCACCACTTCACAAAGTTCGAGAGTCTAGAAGCGGAAGGGGGGGGGGGGGG